TGTGAAGAGGACTCCACAAAGGAACCTGGGTCATTTTGTGCTGGCAACCAACTGTACACACTGAACCTGTGCATGTTTGTGTTCCATGTAGAAAATACAAGCAAGAGAGTGACTGTGGGCACTTGTGCATATTTGTGCTGTAAAACCAAAGGAGGGTTAAGTAAGAAAATATATAAAAACATGCTTTTTAAAGTGAGAAGATCATGGTTACTGAAAGATGTTCTGTGAAGACAAAAAGACATCAGCCTTTCTGGATATGCCCGAATGGGCACAGCTGGACAGAGTTTTAATTGCCTGGGCTATCCAACAGGCGATTTATCGCGGCCTGAGTGTTTGGGTATTTGTAATTTGTTTCCTCTCCAGATTTGGCAAGGCCAACACGAGCATCTTCAATAACACTTGAATCGCACACTCTACTAAAAACCATGGTATTCCTGCAAAGGTTACTTCTGGAAAGCTCTCGCATGCATCACTGCAGACAAAGTCACGTAGGCCCATAGCCCTAATTATGTCTTTTAAAAGGCCTAGGCCTATATCTGGATTGGAATACGCCTGCATGCACCATGTCACACCATAAGCCTTATCGCAAATACTGCATGGGTGATTTTGCACAATGGTAAAAAGCCATTATGGGAAAGAAAAAGGGGCAATGTTTGCTCGTTTTTCCCTTCCCACAATGCCTTTATACCATACTGTAAAATCACCCATACAGTATTTGCGATAAGGCTAATGTCACGTGAATTTGAAGATGGGAACATGGTGAACGGAACTTCAATTTGCTCCAAATTTGTCACTAATAAATATGCCATCTCAGACACAATAGTAGGTACAAAAAGCAATGACAATTACGCTGACAGTATTTGAGAACAACTTAGCTCATCAAATGAAGATATAAGCTCAAATATTCGCTTACCCTGGGTATTTCTGGAGAGGAATTCGATTCGACTAAGATGGGAGTGGTAATAAAAACCCGGAAGAGACGTGACAACTCAAACGCAACCTCGTATGCAGTTCTACATTTGAAAGTCGTTGCGAGTACCCACCTCGTTCCACGCGTGACCACAACGAGCACGTACGTACATGTACATGGACATGGACATGTAAATGTACATAAACTTGCACCGGTTTTCACGAAACATTTCTGAATACGCCGTTGGGGGCGGAAGTTTACACAAAAGAATTTTTTCTCTGCGCTGCACTCAAAACTGGAAATAAAACCATTTCATATAAATATTTCGCCCAGATGCATTAGCGTTGATAATCCACATAGGCACAGCATACTGCCTGTTTTGATTACGGACTGTGAAAAACCGTAAATCCCCTTAGATAAACTTCTGTTCCATCGTCCGGGGCAGTGGCGTAGCTATAGGATTATACTGGGGGGGGGCACAAAGGAGCATCAGCGTCTTATGGGGGCACCAGCTGTCAGTGGTGTTTTGGGGGGCAAGATTTTGTTAGCCTTGTTCAATATCCATTCCTCCGGGTTTTTTTTCGGTGGGCCGCACCCGGGGGGCACCGGGAATTTGTAGGGACACGCCCCCCCAGCTACGCCACTGGTCCGGGGGGTGCATTAATTCAGTTTCTAATAACTTTGCCGTCTAGCATGTCACCATGCAAAATCATGTTCAGTTCTGTTTCAGCTGCTTCCTGTTCGTGGTTGATCGCCCCAGTGCGATCATGAGAAAGTCTGCAGACAGGTCGATGGAGATGGAAAATGAAGAAATCACTACAACTATCCGAAACCAAACTAAACTGCCTAGACGGTCTGCGATTACTTGAGATGCTGACGGCATTCGCAGAATTCTGCCCCGCTGAGTCAGCACAGAATCCTGGTTACGGTCTTTACCCATGGGCATCGTCCATTGTCCAAATTTCCTTGTTAACTTTCCTTGTTAACCGTTAGCGAAGATTTGGGCCGTTGAGCTTTGGTACTGTTCCACCCCAACGCCCGAGGCTGTCCACGGGCTGGTAAAATACGGTGCTTAGCAGCGCCATGAAATTGGGCAAAACTGAATGTTAACCGAGTTGTCAACAGATGTCGAGTTCATAGTATCCTTGCCAAGCCAACAACTACTCCTCCCCTGCTCCTAACACAGAATGAGAATGAAATGCACAAGAGAAACGCACCGATGTACCCGCAAATAGGCCTACTCCACGATCCTGGGCGCTATGTGGATTCAATGCACTCTCGTCCGAGGGTACCGTCCTTGCTGCCGTGTGCTCTCTGCACGCAACCCGCAAGGGGCCTACCAGCCCGTACTGCAGATCGGTCCTCTGGGTGCTTGCTGACGTACCTTTCGTGTGACCCTCCAGTTGTTGGAGATTGAATGTGTGGGATCGATCGTTATTTATGTTACCTAAAAAGGAACATAAAGTGTACTTTATATACCTTTTTCCGTGATCTTGCAAGACTGCATATTTCATTTCGTATTTGCTGTCGGCCGAGGAACCATTGTAATCTTTGATCACCTTACTGTGATAAAAGGAAAACAAGATAATGTTTCAACCAGGGTATTTATTTCAGCCGCAATTTTTTCACCCCTCGGTTGTTTCCGCGTAGCACCCATAAACTGATTCATTGATAGCACCACTGCCAATATAAAATTAAACGTTGCCACAGATGAACTGATTATCCTTTAATAACACTGAATTCTAAGAAATCACACTCAGTCAATCAAAATGAGAGAAAATTTATTTAATATTTTAATCAAAACTTAAACTAAAAATAAAGTTGCACAGAAACACACCAGTGACAGAAACATTACTTCCTTTAAGATGGGCCTCATGCTTATTTTGAACGATTATCTAATTTCGTAATACATGTAATATACTTTAGATATTGTTTATCCTATCATAAAATCACATTGTATAGTATAAAAATAAAGCCCTTGGCATCGACACAATGACATTAGCAGACTGGTGTGTTCTCCTTCATGGATACTGGTAGGGGTGTTAAATTTACACCACATGTCGTAGTGTATCATTGGCTGCCGATGTCATAGAATGCTACCAAGAATTGAACACTGCACAAAGGAGCCAATGTGCATTCATCCTTTTTCGAACCAAAACTAACCAAGTCAAAGTTAATATCGTACCTCACGCCACAAGCTTTAATTTATGAACAAGTACATTTCCTCAATGGACTAGTAAAGAGTGTGATTTACTGCGTCAAGGACAAAGCAATCATTTTCCCTTGGAAAAAGTGCAAATCAAAGCAAAGGTTTGTAATAGTATTTTTGGGGACATTGCCCTTTTCGAGAACAACTCAAAACAAATTTCAGCCTTCGGAGATCGAACCATCTTTCGAAAGGTCTATGCATTTGAAATCTGTGTAATAATGTCTGACAAAAAGATGTAATTAAGCCAACGGATATTTGCATTATAAGCTGTGAGGGAAAGCTGCCTGAACTTTGTCCTGCAAGGTACATTACGACATATTTCACAGTGCAAATGAGCCGAGGCAGTTTCAGTCTGAACTTGAAACTTCAATTAGTTTCCCCCTGTAAACTAAGCAACTCCAAAGTTCAGTTGGATTTACTATGCACTTGCGCGCTCGCACTGAACTCAATTCTATATGCGACGCCGTCATTGACGCATAGCGCCCTCTCCAGGTCGCAATCTTACAAAAAGGAGTCAAATCAAATGTTCACACGATTTAGGCCCACGTCAGGTGCCCGACGAAATGCTTTCCAATTTATTCATCTAAAATTGAGGGTTTTTTTTCTTTTTTACTTTTGCACACCTTAACCAAGTCCCTTGAAACTCCTGGCTTACAGCTCATTAGTTCTTAAATTTACACAGAACTTATTGAACTAGGGCCTATAGGCAAAGGGGCGTGGTGGGGGTTCGCTTGCCTTGTCCAAGGTTCCAAATTACCATTCTTGTGTACGGTAGTTGGATGGAAACCTTGTATGCCACCTGGTCTATATTAGAGCAAAAATTAATGGGGCTTACATACACCCATGATCCCTTCTCCACTGGTCTTATCAGCCTAATGTTTTGTTCTGTTTGACTAAATTCGAGAGTTTTTGTTTTTTGTTGCTCTCCTTTTTACTTTGTTTCCCTTCCCCTTTCACCTAGTTTTCAAAAACGAATCATACTTACATAATCAGGCGCAGGTGAATCATACAGGCGCAGCATCAGGTGATGTAGTCCAATTTTTGGACTAGTTTCAGATGAACTCATGCCCAATCTTCACGGGAGGGGTGCGTGTAGTCACCTCGCGATAACGTGCAGCCGACCGCGCCGGCTGCACAAGGGTGATCAGCGCGGTGATTTACGGCACAACTCTTCGCTCAGACAATGGTCATGGTCCGGAGTGGAGGTAGTTGTAAATTCACACCCTATGGAGGTGGTTTGGTTAATGTAAGCCTGTCAAGGCTTGAAACGGCTGTTGGACCACAGATTTGATAGTTTCACCAGGGCCTGGCGGGAGTTACAGTACATGTCTACAAACAGTGGTGTAATGCCTCGCCAAGTAAATGTGTTAACTTTTTAGTAAAAGAGACCTATTACAGCCTTGTTTGTATAGGGCTAATGTATCATGATGTCTTCGTGCAACATGGTTAGGTGTATCCTACGAGAATGCAAATTACAATATTATAATATCAAGACTAGCTCAGCATTTGTTCATTTAAGACCTGGAAACATAACTTTACAGATTTATAGCATTTCCAATACAAACGTGCACAGTTAGAGTTGAATAAGACCATAAAGTATCACGTCTTATTTACCGGCTCTTAAATAAAGCATCAATTAAACTAGACGCATGGTACGCTAAAACTTGAATGAATTTAACACTCGGAATTTAGTCACTGACCGCATACACGCGGATTCAGCAATTTTTTTTTTAACGCGTACACTTACGTATTTCAGGACGCCTTGAGCAGTCTGTACCTTTTTCATGCAGTATTAAGGGTGGTCAAATCTGGCCGATTATAACCTTTGTGTGAAGTTGAATAACTTGGTGTGGAGTCAGTAAGATTTTCAAGTGTTGTGGTGGGGTTTCCAGCGTCTCTACTATCCTGCGGTTATTAAAAAAAAGTAAAAACAGCGACAACCCAAACCACAGAAATATGACCGCTGTCAGTCACTGTACAGACCACATGTCTGCAGACTCAAGTTTGAGAACGTTCAGAGAATCTTGGCGCTCCACGAGAAATCACCTGAATGGCGATAGTCAAGGGTTACTGGCCAGGTAATTGCTCCCTTAGCACTTGGAAAAATTAAGCTATGCGTTCCGGTCCCATTTAATTGCGTTAGGATCGTCCTCATGGACTTGTTGTGAACAGCGCGCGCAAAGGACTCAACAAATTCGCCCACCATCAGGAGGTGGGTGAAGGCCACCATACAAACACTTCAAGCGAAAAGCTAAGCTAAGTAACTGATCTCTGCCCACTTCAGGTCTCGAACCTGACACTGGGATATAAAGTCGATGCACGTTTTTTTTTGGGGGGGGGGCACGACAAAGTTGTTGTTTTTGCCCATTTCTCCAGGCTTTGCACCCAAAGCGTGTCACTCCTATTGTAGCCACATTCATTTTTGCTCTTTACTAGTCCGAGAATTGCTGGCTTGAATTTCGGACTCGGAGTCAAGTCAGACTAGAGTTGCATTCATTTTGACTTGACAATTTACTTCAGGGAAGATGACTTGCGAATTGACATGACCAAATGCGGTTTGTTGACATTGCCAATGCACAAGAAAAGATAGGCCTACTCGTAGGCCTATCTATAACATCCCATGAGCAAATCCAAAAACCTGCCTGTTTTTTTATTATGCTGATTTTTGTCACAAGAAATATGAGCACATTATGATTGAAAAAAATACACAGAGAGGTCAATCTTTCCCCCAAAACATCATACATGCGAGTCAAAGGATGGCAAAAAGTGTACAAACATAATCGTCATGTAGGCTTAAAAATGACTTGCAACGTGACTTGTGGGAAAATGACTTGGTTACAGAACTGGCCAAGTGAGAGCTTGCGTTCCTAGATTTCTAACGCTTTTGTAAATTTTGGTTATAGCTGCGATGCAGTTTTTGCCGTTCCCAGTTTGGACGAAAAGAGTACAGGGTGTGTGCAGCACTGCAGCGTTATGTTATAGCGGATTGAGCTCAAGGCACATTTGACGTTGAGAATGCAAAACACATTTCAAGCCATTGAACGGCCACCACCTGTCAGTCAATATTGTCACTTGCTGAAAGACATGAATGTTTAATCCAGCTAAGGGCAAGGTAAATACATTACAAAACTCTTCGTTTGCTTGCACGTAAGAGGCGAATTAGGCAGCAGTTGGACGTGATTAGACTATACAGCATGATAAGACATACCGCGCCATACTATCGGTTGCGTGAGTTCAGGAGATTAAATTGTCGTCGTCAGCAGTTCGACTTTGGTTAAACTGTTAGGTGGTCAAGTGAAGCATACAGAAGTTTTTGATTTAAGAATAGAAGTATGGGCTCAAAAGGGACGACTTGGAATGTTTTCGACGCTGGCTATCGGAGAAAAAAAGAAAAACGTCCGGTAGTTACACGACCTTTCCGTGAAAGCAGAATTCCTCGTCCTGTTTTTTGAAAAGGAGAAATCACACCTGGATGATCATCACTTATGTTGCCGTCGGTGACGTCCTTATTCAAGATTAACCACGGCAAAAGAGCTCCACTTTGGCCTGTCTGCCCACGGACCATGTGTAAATGGTCCGTGGTCTGCCAAACTCAAGACTGCCGAAAAACAGGGCGCCTGCCAAAGACGCATGGCGTCACAGCGTAAACTGATTTCGATTCGTGGTTGGCTACATTGCTCTTTTCTAACGCAGACAAAACTGGACTACATAAGAATTCCGGGGGGGGGTTAAAGATGTAGGGGTTTAATTACCAACTAACTTGATTCCAGTAAATGCTCGAACAACATTTCACTCAACAGCCCGGTTCCCCAGGCACTCAAGATGGTAAACAAAATGATCTCAGTTGCAGACCAGTAAATAATAAGCTGCCATAGACAACTGTGATAAAGTCTAACCTTTAAAAGGAAATAATAATAATAATCTATTCATTTCATATAGATATGTTCAAATGCGCTGTACAATGAAGACATTAAGCATGGAACAATGACTACATTTAAACATGGTTGAGCCGATGGCATACAAGGGGGCCTCGGGCAGCCGCCAAACGACCCACATTCACCAACATCAGTAAAGGGGAGAGACAGTAAGAAGCAGTTACAGTTTTAGAGGTGGGAGGAAATCCATAGAGGAATATTCTGGGTGAAACCCACGGAGTCAGGTAGGTACTGAAAACCCAATCCACATGTGGACCCGGGCCGGGATTCGAACCCGGGACCACAGAGGTGGAAAGCGAAGAAAGAACTACCTTGCCAACCTAACAACCTTGCCAACCTGACTCCCCAAATTAATTAAATAAACGTTTCTCAGATGTTCAAGAAACACAAAAATTAAAGCTCGTTTCCTCATATTTTATTTCCTTTTGAATTTAGTGGTTAATCGATGATGTTTGAAGATATTTCTATCCAAAGATGATCACTCCTAAAAACAGTCTAGATCCCCTTCACCATTTTGAACAAAAATTGCAAAGTGGAGCCATTTGTCTCCGTCCCCCCCCCCGAAATACAAGCTGGCAGTCCTGCTGATAGCTTCTACCTTTTGAAAAACAAAATGCTTCAACAGCAGAGAATTTAACAGAATGCAAATTGGGATGGTCCGGGTATTTCAGCAATCTTTACAATTATTGAGCAGAAGGTAAGCGGGAAAAGATCACACTTCAAATTAAATGGTCAGCAGGTTGTTGGTCCATCTTCCAGATTTGAAGCATCCTTTGTGTGTTAAAGAAAGACTGCAGCCGAGGAACACTTCAAGTCTCATGTAAGTTGTCTTCCGTCTTCGCCGCTGGGACAAACGTTGGCCGAAGTATTTATCACATGTGAAAAGACCAAGAAAATTGGGGAAAAAATAGCCAAGCAGTTTGAGAATGGGGAGAGACATGACCAAGCGACCAGCGCCATTGACACATTTCAGTTCATTTTATTCTGTACACTGATCGCTCCGGAGGAATTTATTGTCAGTTCCCTCAATTCAAATGGAAACACTGATTCATTAAAATAACAATAATAATAATAATCGGACATGTTTACTTCTACGCTAATAACATGAAGGAAGCTATTAAAATGGCAGCTCCGAATCTCCTGTCTTGGCAATGAACTTGAAGTTCTAAAAAAGTCAGGGAAACCAACAATCTAAATATTAAATCCCTTCGTTAAGTGTGCGCTTCTGTTCTGGAATGAAGCAGTGTGTGACTGTTCAATAAAACAATGTACATCTTGACGATAGGCAAATCCTCACGACTTGAGCGGGAAGCGTTGGCATAGAGTAACTGTGCCTGGCCCATTCAGCAGAAATACCTTGAACAATCAACTATTAACTTCTGCAATAACTCGCAACGTAGAGCAATCATGGGGTGGAAATCACGTTTTTCACCTGTAATTAGCAATAACCTTGACGCTTTCCGTGCCGACTTTACACCCAGCCGACGCATCTCACGGGAACGATCATAAAAACGGCCGACAGTTGCATACATGATGAGAAAGTAACGGCGGGAGGGGGGGATTTTTTGGACTCCATAATTTCTGTTCGGGGCATTTGTCAGCAGTGATTTCTTCCACTTACAGTTGACAATTTACGTTTGAGCTCCGAGACGGCACGGAAAGTTTGGTTCGACGTGCCAAAGCCAGCAAAACGGACGCTGGAAAGCCAAACAGACCCCGCATGCTTTCGACGACGGTTACTATAGTTACAGTTAAACCGCTCAGATTTTGTCTTTTGCGTCTACGTTACGTAGGCCTATTGGTATTTCTGCACATCATTCCTCGATTTTTTCTGCCCCTCTTTTGCCTCACAATGCCCCTTTTGACTAATTAACACAATCGTGTTGTTGCCTAAACATTATCTAAAACCACAAGTCCGCAATCATCAGTGATACAACAATAATTATAATTTAATGAAAATATTCGATATTATTGTCGCTTTCCCCTTTAAGAAGGCATGTATACATAAACTACGAGTCCATGCGATTTTTGTTTCCTTATATTTCTTTGTACAAAGGACGTCTACAATTTTACAAGCTCTTTGGCCGTATAGCTACAAATTTCATTGAATGCTTACTCTAATTCATCTCTAATCTACAAGCGTTTATAACTTTTACTTAATTACCTCGAGTGCATTCTACGGTGGTTCTTGTTCTACGCTACTATCATGGCGAACAGTATATATAGTATATAGAAATGTACATGCACAGTGGCTTCTAAGAGTACAAATTAAAATTGATCACTATAGAAGCACAGAGTTACCATGTGTTGTAGCAAGTAAAAAGTGCTATGTGTCAGGATTTAAGCATTGAACCGTGAAAGGAGTGCTGAAGAGCTAAACAGAGCACGTGCATGCCTTTTTGACTGAACGTCATCTAATTCTTTTAACAACCCACTAGAAAGTTGATCATAAAAACGGGGGAAATATGGGTTAAAGCTGTTTTGGTAGATATTCTGCAGTGCAAAACACACATGCGCAGAAAGTCGGACAGTGGGAATAAAACGTATTTCAGGTACAAGTTGACCAATGTTAATTTGTCTGCATTGAAGACCAAAAATTTAAAGGAGTGAAATAATATAGCTGCCTGTCAATAAATAGCACGATATACATGTACATGTTGTGAAAAATAAATACATCAAATTGCTGAGACATTCGAAAATTCTACAGAACGTATCATGACGCCATTTCAACGTCTTCAGAATCTACATCTCTACATTCGTTGCCAACAATTTTAACCTGGGTCGCAACACCAGGTCTTTTTTGTCTCGGATTTCTGAACGAATTTCCACGCAAACATTCTTAGCATATGACGAGCATTATTCATTTACTGCCAGATCAATATGCAAAAGTGATAGCATAATGATGTGTTAAGATCATTGAAAGAACAACAGATTCGTATGTGTCACAGGCATCTTTCCCGAGAAGTTATGTACCACAGAGGTACTACATGTTTAAACTTCAAAGGAATGCAGCCACGCGTTCCCATGTACATGTATCGCAGATTTTCCAAGCAAAGGCACAAAGTCGATGGAAGACAAATAGAAGAAACAGGCAACTATAGACATGTCAATTACTATCTACTACGTTAATTTTGTAGGTGCCAAATTAATGTAAACAAAATGAAATGTACAAAATATTTCTACAGAAAGAATAAAAACATTTGGCAGCAAATTAATAGAAAAAGAAAGAAGACCTTACTTAATCTACCTCTACATTTAGCCGCTAGTGCCAGCTAGTTATAAATATTAATTAATGCTATAATGATAGCTTAATTAAAAAAAAACCTACATTAAAAAATGGACGGATTGTTTTGCATGGGCTTAAAACAAAGCATTAAATTAAAACAAAAATTTTAAGTTAATACATTTGAATTAAGCATCATAATCATTTATACATTTAAACTTTGCTTTTAAAAGAATTTAATATATAACAACAGTACGAACAATAATAATACAAGATAGATTTTTACCCTTGATATTTGTACCTCTATGTAATATATAATTTATAGCTGAAAACTACATTGTAATATTCTGAATGTCTACCCTCTAGCTAGTGTTAACCAATACCCTCTAACTTATTTGCATGGCTGGTTTTCATCAATAGTAGATTGTCTACCAAATATCAAAATACTGTCTTGATGAATTACTCATGTTTCTAACTTAATCAACACAGTATTAACTTTCGTATGAATATGTATGCTTAGTGGCTCGGATTCAAGTAAGTACACTTCAGCATAAAATATAGTCTGCTAATGAGTCAATGAGACATATTCACTTTTGAGGGAGCCATCTCTGAAACAGCAGATTGGTTAAGAGCTAAATCTCTGAAGAGTTTTGGAAACGCCACAGATTTCTGTTATGTTCATTCTTGCTTCTTGCTTTACGCTGCTACTTTAGTTCAAGTGAATATATCTCATTTTAAGAATTTCTTTATACACAAAGGCACTTTTGTTGTCATCTTCCATGTTCTCTTGAATATTTTCTTGCATAGATTTGCATTCTTAAATGCAGCAATTTGTCACTTTAAACACACATTAAATTATACATCCTTTTCTTAAATTATTCATGAATATTTCAATTTGAATATATATGAATATGCATAAATTGTCCAACCACTGATTGGTGAATGAAAGACAATTTACATGTAACAGTTTTGTTACCAGATCCACATACTTCTGCCAATGATGTCTAAAGCCAGAGTGCTTTGAAATATTGTGGGATAAGATGTTTGCAATACATTTCATCAATGAGGAGCTTGACATCTGTGAACTTTTTCAATTGCAAACCCAGCCAGTATTTTCAAACCCTTTCAAGATACTGTCTGAATCAGAGCTAATTGGGATAAGAAAACTTCTTCATTGAATATTTAAGAAAATGAAACTGAAGCTCACTTTCACACTGAAGTGTCTCCTGCCCAAAATTTGTTCAAAAAATCAAATGACCATGCGGCATTCTTTGTATTGTTCTCCAAGATTTCTCTCAGTATATTGACAACATGGGCCGTGCTTATTTATTAATTGCGTCTTATACAGTGACAGACCACCACTACATGTACATACGCTGTCCCCCATCCATAGCCTTCAAACATGCCACTGATTCTATACATCTTTCAAACAGAGATTTGCAATTCGTTGGGAAATTATTGCGGTGGCTTTATAACGACACCTCCTGTGAGCCTTTTCTGATCACGTTTCATATATTGCATTAACACTTCTTTGACAACAACAGAAATTTTGAATTCTATGGATGGTAGACTGGCTTCTAAGTCTCTCTCTTTGCTTCTCTTCTGTTTTACATCGTTTGTGTACTACATTCTCTCACAGACTGGCTGGGCGGTTTGGGCTGCCGGGAACTGGGCCTGGTAGATGTTGGCAGTGCTCACCGGCAGAGCAGCGGGTGGGATGGCAGGCTGACCAGACTGGGGCACTTGGTACTGGAAGGTGGTACTGGTGGGGGAGGGTGGGACATATGCCCCCTGGCCAGCGGCATATGTGTAGGGGTCCACCCCGGCCGTGTTTAGGTGCTGGTGGTAGGCATAGGCTGTGGAGTAGTCCAGGTAGCCCTGGTTTTGATGCTGGTAGGTTATGGACGGATGGGCGACATAGTACTGAGGGTAGATGTACTGGGTAGCCAACCTGTGTACGAGACACACATAAAGAAAAAAAACATATTTAGTACTTGTGGCACATAAATCTTCAATAAGCCATGTGAAGTTGGGTTTTAAAGCAGTAGCTCAGATAGCTACTGTAAACAGAAGACCATGCAGTTACGTTCCCGAATGTTATAAAAAGAAAGTGATGGTGGTAGGATTGTTAACTGTGCAGGTGAATCTTTTCTGTTTGCTGTTCATGAATTGACAGATTCTAGCACCAGGGTGAAATGGGGGAAGGGAGAAAAATCCAGAAAACATTCAACAAAGAGGTTGAGACACTGACAACAATACAACACAGCAACTTTTCACGGATTTTCACAGATAGTAAGGCATGAGTTTGCTCCCAGAAGGCCATGGATTCTAGCCAGAATCTAGCTTGTTCTCACACTTTTTTTTTTACAAAAATTGAAAACCTCAAATGATTTAGTATCTGAAAGCCCAGAATTTTTAGTCCAAAATCCTGAATTCCAGAAAATCCTGAGAAATTAAAAAGTGGAAAATAAAGATACAAACTCAACTGCTTAAGCATCTTAAACTGTCCAGCATTTTTTTCAGCTGAAAATCTGGGAAAATTCCTGAGAAATCCCCCTGCTGCAGCACAGATGTTCAACAAAGACCCAAAATACAAGATCCTGTATTGCACAAGGACAAAACTCCAGGGGCCCCTCCCAGTAGCCCTTAAGCAAGGATCTTTCACCCTTCAGTCGGGTGTCATGCATGCACTGAACTCATCAAAATCACTTGACAGAGTCAAGGGCAGTAGAGTCCCAGTGAAGCTTGTTTCTTCATGGTCAATGTTTTATAGGTGGAAGAGAAAAAGAACATCAGTAGTGGAGGCGGACCCCTTTTTTCCTCTCGTTAAGCAGGGGCTTCAGAGCCAAGATTTACATGATTTAGGAGCACAACTGGAATATTTGATGACCAAAAAGAAAAAAAAAAATGAATGACGTGTGTATGCTGCATTGGCAGTGTCCTTTGCAGGCATGGGCAAAAGAATGGGGTAATAATTTGTCCAAACCTTTTAAATGGGGTTGGGTAGGGGTTCAGCACTTGGGGGTTTACTGGATCAACAGTCTTCCTCTCTGTCATATTTTGTGTACCTTCTTTGCCACTTTGACAACTTTGACTTCTCTTAGGGATCGGGGGGGGTCAGGGACACACCCCTGCCAGCACCTATGGCTCTCAGATACCCATCAACCTGTTGCATCACTGATAAATGGTTAAACAGACTGGCCTGCACTGGTAATTTTCTTTGGAGGTGGGTTCAAAACCAGCAGGGGCACCATGGCACATGTGAAATGCTATCCCCCTACCAGACGGTGAACCAGTATGGAGTAAGGTAGTCAATGTGTCAGAATAGTTTTGTTTCTTCCACTCGAGGAAGTCTACGTGTCTCTGAAGTGCCAGCTCCCAATTAGGGAAAAGGAGTGTAAAACTAGTCCTTCATCATGTAAACAAACCAACATGCTTGTATGATTTTGATTGGAACATATGTCACTTGTAAATTGAACTTTCAGATGATTTTTTCTGAAACCCTATCCAACTTGAAGTAACAGGACAAGCTGAAGGTAAAGCAGGTAGACCTTTTGTGGACAGACACTCTTTTTTGACACCATTATCAAAGATAATATATTCGAACAGTCACATACACTTCTTAATTTATCACTTGAAGTACAAAGGCCAACCATTATCACATTAATGCATGAACAGGTAAGAAGCTCAAGGGGGGGGGGTTGAGCAGCTTGGTTCCCTATTCATGCAGTGACAGTCTTTCAAGAAGGAGAAGCAAGTCTTGACTGCCTTACCATACAGCCCCTTGACAATGACCATCAACCAGGCTTGATAAGGACCCCCAAGGGCCTAGTAAATCATTCTAAACAGCCCCAACAAATGATCGATCCGAGACCCCCACTGCAGTTGTATTGGTGTTTCTGGGCCAGGCTAGGTCTAGCTTTGGACCTTCCAGCTATTAGCTGAGAAGACTCAGGGACTGATCTGTCAACTCCAAGTGCAACCTGCTCAGGGGGCGGGGCCGGCTTCCTGATTTTTTTTTGGGGGGGGGGTGAAAATATGGAAACTGATGGAAGGGGGTAGGCTACATTTTCTTATTTGTGGACAATAAATACAGGTTAAAAATATAAATTCTTATGGTGGCCAGGCCATGTCAACCCCCATAAAAAGAGGATGTACAAAGACAAAGAAAACACATCTAAAGCTACATCGGCAAGGACATGAACCAAGATATTACTCAAAATACATGTACAATTGATGTGTGCACAAGTGCCAAACGGTGTCCTTTTTCAGGTTCTACTATTGGTGACAAACGTTTATGAGAGAGACCAAATTGCACAATTTCTTGCACAGTTTTCTGCTTTATTATTCCAAGTCTTCCACTTCTTGTGAACAGTGTCAATGGCTTTGTTGTTATATCAAGAAAATGTTCTATTTTGTGTTCAAAGTTGGAATCAAGGCATCAACAGCTAAATGGGCAGAGCTGCAAAATCTTGACATAAATTACTACAAAGCTTTAAACATTCCCGTGCAAGGTGTGAAATGATATGCACAGCACTGGTCAACATTAGTAAACAAAAATGTACATGTATGCTCCAGACTCAACAAGCAGGGATTATGTTTTTCCCAAGAAAGCCAGTACGATTTGGAAAGAAAAAGGAAATGCTCTTGAAGCCAACCATTTATGGCTGGATAATAGCAAATAATCTATACAGAGTGCAATGCTCTTACTTTTGAATTTGGTCGATTAGAAAGGCATTGGAACATTTGAAATAACTCACAGAAAGAAGCCCAAGGAAAAATGAGATCTGAACTTGACTCATTTTTTACAAAACATACCATGCAGGCTTGCCCAAGGGGGAGATTAACCGTGATAACATTGAAAAGTGGAAGTGGCAATTATGATTTGTCAAAAATCTGAACATTTCATCCTGTGGCACGTACAAAACTGCTCCTGAAAATATTTCAGATTGTTGGATAAGTTCTCTCCACAATGAGCAGAGTGAGGTGATCGATTTCCTTACCCTTACACCACTTGAAGGCTAATGAAGGAAATCCCTGCCAAAACAAATTTTCTGCAAAGCTGAGCAAACGCTGAACAAACATTGGACACCCTTTCCACAACCTCTCATTTCTGCAGTCTGCATCAGCTGAGCAAGTTCCCACCATTTGGCATGTAGGCCTACCAGTCTTCCCCACAGAACCTTCCAGATTGTTTGATAAGTTTCCTCATAATAAGGAAACCCAGGTAACCACTTTGTTTACCATCCAAACCACTTCGGCAACAACAAAATTGGAGAAAGTTATGACAAAGCAAATTTTCAACATGGTTAAGCAGATACTGAACACCTCCTTTCCAGAGTTGACACTTTTTTTCCAGATAAACTAGCCATGCCAAGTCTGCATTGGAAACCCATATGTACCTATGTGATGAATCACACGAATTACCACCAGTCTTTGAATGATTTGACTCTCCCCAACTCAACACTATGTAGCGCTCAATTTGCACCGTACTTCACGTAACCTGCATTATATGACAAACCAGCTCCAAAGTAAAGGAGGTTTGGTAAAGCTATGGGTCTGCCCACCCCCAACATTATGTCTCTGTTGGCAGTGAAAACATGCCAGGCTTAGTGTACAAACTGGGGCCAATGTCCTTACATCTCCATTTAAACATTCAATTACGCTGTTGCCATTCCGTGGAGACCGTGGTCTGGAGGGAGGGGTGGCTGAATGCAAAAAATGCACCAAGCTGACAGAAATACAATCAGTTAATACCCTGAATAGGAGTAAGTTTACTCGCCAAAGCTTCCACGTGGGAATATCAGCTGCCAAGAGGTACATGAACATATGTACACAGCCAGCCTCATTCTGGGCCGGGAAAAGCTGTGTCGGTTGTCCACGCAATGCTGAATACATCTGCTTCTGATGTGACTTTCCCTCTTTTAAAGGAATGCCCTTCTGGTTTTGAAAGGCCAGGTGAGTGACAAAGATAGGGTAATGGGTGAACAGCCAAGGGATTAGGTTGGGTTAACATGTCATGGTTTGAACACGAACACGGCATCATGTTCTGCTTTCTCCCAGGATATAAATGTCTCCGCTTCTTGCGTACATGTGTCTTGCACCAAGGCATTTCAGATGATGAACAGCATCAGCGGGGGTCGATGAACCCAATTTCGTCTGTCAGGGGCAGGTTAATCGAAAAGATGAAAGTCAAAGAGCAGAAATGAAAGCAAACCAGTCATTTTGAACCACTGTTTGATTTTCCTACCCCCTGCAGTGTAGAGTTTCAAGATTTCAGATTTGACTGAAAACTACAGGCACAATTAAACGTTAAGTACACACATTTTTAGAATGCTACGATATATGCATGATCCACTTTGGGCAAGCAAAATGTGTTTCAACTATAACCAAATTAGCTTTTTTTTTTTAAATCACAAGCCAACCTCTTGAAATTGTACTCAAGTTGTCTGGATTTGGGTTGCATGACACACAGTCCCACAAACCACTTGCTCTGGGCAAAAGGTAGGACCCATGCAAACAGACACCCTGTTGGTTCTCATCTCTTTGATAAAAAAACCCTGTGCTATAGTCTCAGTGGTGCAGTCATTTGTTTAGCATTTGTGTACTTAGCAAACTGAGTTGTTGCCAACATGATAGACTAGCCCTAGAGGTGCAACTTATTATTTCTTTCCTAAATACCAACAGAATGTGTGTGCTGTTCAGCGTCATATTCAACCGGCGCAGCACCACACAGTAGGCTTTCGTCATCCACTTTTTGCTAGGTGATTTGTTCACAGAGAAACAGCATTAATAAAAGTAGGATCTGGGACTTTTTCTCTTCATGCCTGCACAAAAAAAAATTACTGATGGACCCCACACTAAATAATCTCAAAATCTCAGTGAGCAGAGACAAGATGTTAAGTATCAAATGAGAATTCGGAGTTCTTTTTTTATGATAAACATCTGATA